AGAGTGTGTGTGTGTGTGTGTGTGTGTGTGTGTGTGTGTGTGTGTGTGTGTGTGAGAGAGAGAGAGAGAGAGAGAGAGAGAGAGAGAGAGAGAGACCTAGACACGTGTCATCCCTCCCCAGCCCCCCACTGTATCATTTCTGTGCCCAGTTTCTTCCATCCTTTCAGCTTTCGGAGCGACATCAGCTCTGACCTCAGGCCCCCTCCCAGGTTGCATCCGTGATGTCCTGTGAAGTTTTCAGCCTCAGCCAGTGTTGTTTAGAAAGGCCAGCTGAGGCAGGGCTTGCTCTCCCCACCTCAGTGTGTTTTCCCAAAGGCCGGCTGCCCTGTTCATCAAGTACCTTTCTCTGTGCCCGGTGTGGTGTCCAGAAGGTAGTAGGCACTGAACGTATCTGATCAACTGAATTTTCTAGAACAGTGTATCTTAAAAAGCAGTCCAGAGGGTGAGGCTATGAGATTCGATTCGTCAGTGAAGTCCTTGCCTAGCAAGATGAGGACCTGGGTTTTATCCCCAGAGCCCGTTGGGAAGCCAGGCACAGAGGCTGCAGAGGAGGCTCCGTGGTCAACAGCACTTACTGAACTCTCAGAGGACCTGAGTTCAGGTTCCAGCACCCACATCAGGTGGCTCACAACCCCCTTTCACTCCAGCTGATGACTGTGAAAGATGATTCTCATGGGATGTTCTAGAATGGAAAATCAGAGCTCTCCAGTGGCAAACAAGTCCACCCCTGACTTGAAATGCTACAAATTCCTAAAGATGTAAAAGATAGCTCACCTATATAGCACCGAGAGACCATTTAAAACATCTTTAGAGGGCAGTGGCGTAATTCAGTGGGTAAAGGCACTTTACCATCAAGACTGAACAATTGAGTTCTATCCCAGAATTCCACGGCATAGAAGGAGAGGACTCACTCTTAAAATTGTTCTCTGACTTCCATTCATTCACCTTGGCACATGCATCACACACACACACACACACACACACACACACACACACACACGCACAAATACATAATAAAATTTTTGTAAAAATATTTGAAAGTTGTGCTCCATCTAAGTCAAACTAGTGACGAAGCTGGAGAAACTGACAGGAAAGGAAGAACGTGTTCCCAGGTCAGCACATCCGCCATCACAGAAGCCCCTTGAGGGATATTAAAGGACTTCCACTCAAATACATACACAGCTTTGGTTTCAGCGCTGTGGATTTTCTTTTTGAAACAGAACTTCACATAGTCCAGGTTAGCCCCAAACTGCATAGCCAGAGGTGGCCTTGAACTCCTCATCCTTCTGCCTCTGCCTCTCTGGAGCTGAGGTCACAGGCAGGCATCACCCGTTTATGTGCTGGGGATCAAACCCGGGGCTTCCTGCCTGCTAGGTCAGCCCACCACTGTCCCAGCTGCATCTCAGGCCCCGTGGGACTCCTTCACATCCTTCGACCTGCAGCACCATCTCCACACACACAGAGTGTGTCCACCTGAGACACTCATTAAAGAAGGGGCATTTCCTTAATAAGCATCGGCATTTACACCAGAGAAAATATCTAAATGTGGCTTTTTAAAAGGACCAGACTTCAAGCAAAAATCGACTCTACACCAAGGGCACAGCATCTGTGCTCGGCTTCCCAGGAATTCCAGCCCGATGCGGTCTCACTAGTGAGAGTCAGATGCAAAACGCACCGGGTCACAAGCCCGCAGCTCTTGCAGTTGGGTCTCTTCTCGCTTCCCACCACCAGAGATTAAGGTTCTGTGCGATCGCATTACCAGAGAGTTGTACTTTACCGTTGATTTCGAAGGTCTCCATCATAGGGCACATGGCTTGAACAAAATCCGCTCCTTCTTCCGTGCTCCCCAAGAAGGCTTCCTCCTTGAGGGTTTCTTTATTTCCCATTGCTACGTTTTATAGGTGGCCAAAGCCCTGGAGGCAGCAGAAATGCTTCCCCAAGAGGAAGCAGGGCTCCCATTTAACTGCGGCAGCTAGCTGGAGGACCGCTCGACTTCCCTTTGGCAATGATTCCTTGATTTGCACAATGTTTCCTGACTATGGGGATGAGGCTGTTCCTTAGCGTATAGTTGATTTTTGCTTAAAAAACCAGGCTGTTGACATGTGGAGCTGTTATGTGGGGAAGCTGACCGACCGTGCAGGGGAACTGAAGAGACTTGGGGAAGACCCTCCTTGTTCTCAGGACCCTAGGTGACACCTAAGGAGCCGTTCTCTTCCTTCCTTCTGCATTCCTAACCTCTGCATTCACACAGAACCAGCTACCTATCCCAGGACTTCTCCGGCCCACACTGGAACCCTCTTCTGACCCACTTCAGGCTGAGTTCATCCTTAGACATAATGGGGCCCTGGATCCGCCACAGGACCACGGTTTGGGACACAGACTGAATGCAAACCTATAGTTTAATAAGGTCCCCGTGTGGTTTATAGCACATTAACGTTTAGAAAACGGGCTGAAAAGATTAAAGTGCCTGCTGGGCAAGCATGGGGACATGAATTCAGATCACCAGAACCCATTAAAAAACAAAAGCAGCCGGGCGGTGGTGGCGCACACCTTTAATCCCATCACTCGGGAGGCAGAGCCAGGCGGATCTCTGTGAGTTTGATGCCAGCCTGGCTACCAAGTGAGTTCTAGGAAAGGCGCAAAGCTACACAGAGAAACCCTGTCTCGAAAAACCAAACAACAACAACAATAAACAAACAAAAACAAAAGCAACAACAATAAAAACCAGGTGTGCTTACCATGTCTGTGACTCCAGAGATGGTAAGATAGAGACAGGTGTCCCTGGCCCACAGTCTAGCCAATCAATGAGAGAGAGAGAGAGAGAGAGAGAGAGAGAGAGAGAGAGAGAGAGAGAGCCTGCTTTAAACAGTAAGGTGGAGGGCCAGAGAGACGGCTCAGCAGGTAAAGGCCCTTGTAGCAAAACCTGGCAACTTGAATTTGATTCCCAGGATCTGCATGGTGAGGGGAGAACCGACCCCTACAAACTATCGTCTGGCCTCCACACATGTATGCGTACCATCACACATAAGTGAACCCACATACACAACACACACAAAGTTAAAACACTTTTACAATCACCTTGGAGGTACCTTTCTATAGCATACCAGTAAGGTTTCTGTCCAAGCTTTCCATACCACACTCCTCAGTGTGTGTGTGTGTGTGTGTGTGTGTGTGTGTGTGTGTGTGTGTGTGTGTACATGCATGCTCACTGCACCCCAGTGAGGCCTAAGCCCTCTCCTCTTGTCTCGGTTGAACCTGTGGCAGGTCACGGTTATTAAGATGCAGATGGAGGGGTACGGTGTTTGCTGCAAACCCCACTTGGTCCTCATGGCAGCTGTGGGATGGTAGAAACGTCACTCAAGCTGTGCCTGCCTTCCCCTCCACATTCGCATAATAAGGGAGACACTGATAACTGCTGTATTTCTGAATCAAATCACGTGAGCTCAGGGCTGGGCAAGAAGGAGGGTCTCCTGCAAGCAGGAACAGTTGATCCGATGGAGATGTTGGTCCTATGCTCAGAGTATCTTGTTCTACACTATCCTGCAAGTGTCAGGACCTAAGTTCAATCCCCAGCACCCACATAAATAGGCTGGGTGTCATGGTGTGCCTTAAATCCCAGTGCTGAGAGACAGAGAGACCGGTGGGTCTCTGACGCTCATTAGCCAGCCAGCCTGGCCCTCTTGGGGAGCACCAGACCAGGCAGAGAGCCTGTGTAAAGAACAAGATGGATGGATGGTGCCCGAGGGGTAACGGCTGAGCTTGTCCTCTGGCCTCTGAACACACATGTACCCCCATGCACACTAAGATAGTTGGGACAGAAGGAGTTAAAGAAGAGGACTGGGTCATGTGGAGGAATCTCCTAGCAGCTCCAACCGGAAGCCAGGGGCTGTCAGACTGTGTGGCGGGGGTGGTGCCCTCCCACAGGAGAGGAATTCCCAAAGCAGAGAGGCCTGTTCCTGGACTGCCCCTGCCCCTGCCTTTCCCTGGCTTGGTGCTGTCCTTTCAGCAGCGGGGTGGGGCTCAGGCGGAATGCTGTGTAAAGCACCAAGCCCTGTGCTTAGAGGGACCACATAAAGAATGTCAAGTGTTCCCGTGTCCGCTGTAGCTACAGAGCCGGGCAGAGCCACGTCTGCCAGCCAGGGCAGTGGCAAAGGGTGGAGTGTAGCTGTACATGCACGAAGACGTGGGTTTGGGTCCTCGGTGCCCACGTAGAAAGCTGGGCGTGGTGGTGTAGCTGTAACTCCATATCTAACAGGTGGAGACTGGTGAACCCCTGGGGTTTGCAGGCCAGCTAGCCTAACCTCCTTGGTGAGCTCGGGTTCCATGAGAGATCCTGACTCAAAAATGAAGTGGGAAGGGCAGAAAGGCTTTGCAGGTAAAAGGCACTTGCTGCTAAGCTGGATGGCCTGGATTTGGTTCCCAGGACACACATGGTAGAAAGAGGGAACTGACTCCTGAAAGTTGCCCCCACCCTCCCCCCATATGCTTGTATGCATACATGTGCACACACAAATATACGTATAACACACACAAAACGAAACTAAATGTGAAGAACACCTCTCTCACGAACTCACTGTGCAATTTCAATTGACCTGCTTACCCTCTCTGAGCCCAGCACAAAGCTGTAGCTCCTTGAGCACTTCAGCAAGATTTGTTATCGAGACAGGACTCATCACCCACAGCATGCAAGCTGCCTGTCACGCAGGTACCAAGAAGGTGTCTGATTTCCACTCAGAACTCTGCTCCTATAGCCTGTTTAAGCCAGACACACCGGTTCTCCAGTGTGAGCCTTAAGCCCTGGTCCCCCATGAGTTCCCAGGTTGAACCTAAGAGCAAAAAGTTGAGGTTCACTGAGCAGAATCCTAGAGGGTTCCCATACGGGGGGGGGGGGGGGGTATCCCAGCACCTCCATCCTGTGTGGATTCCTTAGTTGATGGAATCCACTAAGAAACTCGCATATGTGGCTTTACACTCACAGTGACTGGATTCTGTATGGTTGTGTGTGTGTGTGTGTGTGTGTGTGTGTATGTGTGTGATGTGCCAGAGGACAACCTTGGCTGTCATTTCTCAGGTACTGTCCTGAAAGACAGGACCTTCTCTGGCCTACAGGTCCCCAAGTAGGCTAGGCTGGCTGGCCAGTGAGCGCCAGAGAGACAGCTGACTCCTCCTTCTCAGCCCTGGGATTACAAGTACATGCCACTGTGCCTGATTTGGGGGAAGGGGGGGGTAAGGTGGGTTCTGAACTCATGTTCTCACACCTATTATTAACCTTTATTAACCCAACTGTCTCCCCAGCCCTAAGATGAATAGCATTCTTATAAAGATTTGTTTGCTTATTTGTGTGTGTGTGCATGCCTGTCTGCTGTGAGTGTAGATGCACACATGTGTGCATGTGATCGGAGGCCAGAAGAGTGCACTGGGTATCCTTCTCTATCACTTTCTGCCTATTGCTTTAAGTGAGGTTTCTCCCTGAACCTGGGGCTCCAGTTTTCCCTGCTAGTCTAGAATCCAGTAACTCCTAGTGGTCCTTCTGGCCCCACCCACCCCCTCTTGTAGGCATGCGCAGGATGCGTTTCTTGTTATGTGAACGCTGAGCTCCAAGTTCATGTCCTCATCATTGTACAGCAAATGCTTTTTTTTTTTTTTTTTTTTGTTTTTGTTTTTGTTTTTGTTTTTCGAGACAGGGTTTCTCTGTGTAGCTTTGCGACTTTCCTGGAACTTACTTGGTAGCCCAGGCTGGCCTTGAACTCACAGAGATCCACCTGCCTCTGCCTCCCAAGTGCTGGGATTAAAGGCATTTGCCACCACTGCCCGGCTCAGCAAATGCTCTTAACCGCTGAGCCCAAATAATATTTGAATGCAATATTTAAAAAATCCAACTGCATGTATGCCACCCGCAAATTGCCGCCATTTAAATAACAGCAGCCTGGCCCAGTACTGAGCAGCTCAGTCCCTGTGGGCTCTGGCCCTGGCCCCATAGAAGCCCTGGGTTTTAACATCTTCATTACAGGGAGCTCCCAAAGGTGTCCTGTGTGCCTGTAGGCTGAGGTGAGGATCAGAGGGGCTGATGACTGGGCGGCACATCTGTAAAGGGAGCACTCTGCAGAGGCTGGCATCACCTGTCGAGCCAGGCTGCAAGGGGTACTTCATACCTTGTCAGAAGTACCCTTCACAATCCTTGATATCTCCCATTAGGCACAGAGCACATGGTTCCAGGGGTAGGCACAGTCTCTTCCCACGCTCCACTCAAACACTTTTTTTGTCCAGGAACACAGGTCTGGCTGATTCTTCTGCAGATGAAGTGGCCTGTTCATATCTGGGGACTGACTTGTTCAAGATGTCCAGGGTGGGGCTTTACTTTCCAGGCAGAGTGCATCTAATTGGACTGGAGTGTTGCAATGCATTCCAAGAGGCCTCCATGGAGTTATGGCCAGTTTTCTGATGTTCTCAGAAGTGACAGTGAACTCCTCTGGTAAGATGGGAGAAATGAGGAAGGAGGACCCCAGGCAGGTGTGACCCCACTCTGCAGAGCTCAACATCCCACTGCTGAGTGGGTCCCAGATTTGTTCCTTGGTGAACTGGCTGTGTGTCCAACAAAAAGAGTCCTGGGGCTTCCTTATTCTAGCCTGAAAATGAAGTGATGATGCAGTGTGGAAATGACTAGGGTAACGCCATTTTGTCTTGATTCCATTTCGTGTCTGCTTAGACACTCCTCAGCCTTCTATCTCCCAACAGCCACACCTGCCTTGGCAACATGTTTGGGATTCCCATGACCCTGACCATGGTCCAGATGTGCTAATCAAAATAAGTAATGTTTGTATGAACTAAGCATAACTGAAAAGGGTATAAATCTAAATTAGTTGTCATGCTGTGTCTGAAATAACTGTATTCTGTCTAAACAAATGTTGCAAGGCTACTCTGACCTTCATCTGATG